GTTATATTTCCGCTTGATCTTTTTGCACTTGCGTGTGGAAATATTAGGGTTTCTGGTGAGCTCATCAAATATAGAAAGCTCACATCTGATTTGTTTTATTTCTCGTAACAGTTTGGTTTTCCATGCTGGCTCTCTATGTTTGTTAACTTTATTTATTGTCTTGACCCCAAGCTTCCGAGTCGCTGCTAAAACTGTTGTGTATATGATGTTGTTAACTTCTGTGATGTTTCCCGGTGGTTTATCCGTTAAAAGTGTTTCCAGGTCAGCGTTGTATATTTTCACAATGTGCTTGCTGGAATTCGTCATATGGATTTTGGGGAGCTGGTCTCTGTCTGACAATTGTATGAAAGTTACCCTGCTGAGTACTTGGATGACGTAGTTTTTCGCTTCGGTGATTTCAGCTTTGTGGTTTTCAAGGAATTCTAACTTAATATATCTGGAGTCATCTTCAGTGACATTGTCTGGAGAACTGCAGGTCGTGTTTAAGGTAGAGTCTTTGATTTTATTTCCTGGGAGGTTATTTCGTATTTCATTTGTTTTAGCTTTTACCTCATCCTCTGTCACATTACTTATTTCTACTTTCATCTCATTACAGTGTGAGTGATGGGTCATAGTATTTTGTCTTATATTTAATTTTATCCTATCTATTTCTGTCTTTGAGAATATGTTTCGCATAATGTCCCTACGGACATTGGCAAGCATGTTTAGATTGAGGTTAGGTCTTATATCATTTCCCACCATAGTTCTCCATATTTGGTATGTTTGATTGGTGGTGTTCTTTGCTGGGTTTTCGAGTGCAGTAAAGAATGATGTCATGACTTATCGATACTCTTCGCGAGACCATTTCGTTCGTTTTCTTTTTATTAGTCGATTTGGTATTGAGTCACTTGGTCCAAGGTTGGCAATAATCCGGGTTTGGTGACCTAGTGTCTCTTCGTTTCTAGAAGAGTTTGTTCCAGTGACAGATTTTTCGTCTTCAGACTGGTTCCTCTCTGAGGGACGCAGCCCTTGTTAACCCGGGTGACGACCGATCCGGTATGAAATTTTATTCGTATTCATTGAAATTGGTAGAGATTTGCGTTTTAACCTTGACTGCTAAGGGGTATTTATGTTCAAGTTACCAGCTCTCGAAGAAGACCCATGAGCACGACCAACCAATGGGATTGGTACGAATGTGGATTTATTAATATATCGAAGGGGGAATGGTTCATAATAGTGTATTGTGTTCAGTGGGGTAGACTATACTAAGTTTTAACTTAGTATAAGTCGGAGTGACCAATCCCAGGGGGAATATGGGATTTTAGTATTCAGGGTCAAAATAATAATAATAATAATAAAGAGGTAAAGGAAAGAGAAAAGAGAAATTAAAATGAAAGAATTAAAGTTAAATTGAGTCAAAGGGATTTAGAATCATATCAAAGTACAAGAAAAGTATAATTGAAAAATGGTACAACATTTACCATTTCTTACATGTTCGGAGCATGGCACAAGTGACTTTCCACAAATGTTCAACTTTCCGTCGCCAACGACAGATACTTATCAAATTTTATGGGTTAGGCTGGACCTTCTACTACAGTTTGGCAGGGAGGCTATCAAAGAATTCATTAAACAAAGGGGTAGAGGCAAGGGAATAAAAGTTATACATTTCCGGTCATCTCTCAACCTACTAGCCACTAAAAGATAAATTTTAAATTTTCACTTAAAGAGAAGACAGTCAATGGTCAGAACATTGTTAGATAATTACATCTATAGCCATGAAAAAAAAATCATTCAATATGATGCCTATCCATGCGGATATATACACATGTACATATATATATGTACAGAGAGAGAGAGAAAGAGAGAGAGAGAGAGGGAGAGAGAACGAGAGAGACAGAGATTAGTACACATATACATATATACACATACCCGCACCGACAGAGATATGGGATGCCTAAGGGGAAAGAAAAAGACTGGGAGTTCCGCTTAAGGTCGAGGGGGGGGCGGAAAAACTGAAATATAGGTAAAAAAAAAGGAAGCGAAAAGAAAGAGAAAAGGGAAATCCAAATGAAAGAATTAAAGTTTATTATAATTATTATTATTATTTTATTTCCTTTGATTTCTGGTGTGTACACATTTCTTTCAGAGTCCTGCTCAGAGATCTAAGGTTAGAAATGGCATAATGACATTTTCCACTGAACAAAAAAAAAAAAAAATATATTTTACATAGATAAAGCCTTTCGCAAGGTGTGGGCTGCACTTTTGAGAAATTTTTTTTGTATTTCTTTAAGGCATGGGTTTCCATGAATCTCTTCAATTAATCTACTGGAATCATTTCCAACCAATCCGAGGGCTCCAACTACTACAGGGATAGTTGATGTACCCATGTGCCACATTTTTAAGATTTCGATTTCAAGGTCCTTGTATTTTGATAGCTTTTTGAAGATCTTCAAAGATACATTGCAGTCCGCAGGGAGTGTCATATCAATAAGGCGGCACTTTTTTTTCTTTGTGGTCTGTAATAACAATGTTTGGGCGGTTGGCCTTGATTGTTCTGTCAGTGTGTATTGTGTAATCCCATAGAATTGTAACAGGTCCTATTTCCGTAACCGGGTCTGGGTGGTGTTCATACCAATTTCTTTCAGTTTCCTTCCCGTAGAAGTTGCAGATTTTCCAGTGCAGATATTATTATTATTATTATTATTATTATTATTGTGTGAGGTATCATCTTGTCAAAGAGTAATTTTAAATACCTAATTACCAAGTTCCTTCCGTGGTCTATGAGTAGAAAAGTCACTTCGGGAGAGTTATCTATGTATATTTAGGACATTTCGTTTCGATGGAGAAGGTTTTTTGCGGATGATATGTACAGTTCCGTACAAAGTAATATTTTATATTTCTGAGATGCTGATGTGCCCAGGATTTTTATTCACATAATTTTCAGTTTCCTTCTTTATCAAAAACCCAATGCTCCTATCATAACAGGGATAATCGTAGCTTTAAGTTTCCACATTTTTGTTACTTCGATTTGCAGCTCCGTATAATTTGACAGTATTTGAAATTCTTTTTGTAGAAACACTGGAATCCTGTGGGCATGTCATTTGACATTTTTTTAAAAATCTTTGTATGACTATGTCTTGTCTATTTACTTAATATAAATCTTTTATGTCTGGTTCATTATTATTATTATTATTATTATTATTATTATTATTATTATTACATTTCGATTTCTGTTATGGTCACACTACCTACCAAGTCCACTAAGGGAGGTAGGGTGTGTTGTTATGGCTACATTTCATGGTTTGTCTTTCTAACTCCCATAACATCACTAGCGTTACATGGACAAAGTTTTTAGTCTGTAGGCTGTATTTATCAAGACAATTTTTTCTATTTCTCTTAAGCTGGGATGTTTTCAACGTTTTGTTTTATTCCTTTTTTATCATTCCAAGCGCACCTACTATGACTAGTACTATTCTTATTTTTAGTTTCCAGTTTTTTCTATCTCTTCTTCTTCTTCTTCTTCTTCTTCTTCTTCTTCTTATTATTATTATTATTTCTGAGTGTGAGAGCAAAGCGCCAACTAAGCGACGCTGGGTTTGAAATATACAAAGCCCAATATATCCATCATGACACCCAGTCTGATAATGGTATACAAAGCATCATCTCGCGGGTGAAGCCCACTTACAAATACCCACAGGTCGGGTAACATATTCCGCTCAGATGGTCTCAGATTGAGGGTGTCCTGAATTATATAGATATGACTCTCAAATTGTCTTAGGTTTTTCATCCTTAAAATTTTCGAATAAAAAACAAATCCCCTCTACACCGGGCTATGGTGATTCTCCCCTACTCTCGCTCATGAACAGAGATGCACAGTTCGTCGGTCCCAACTGGTTAAGATCAGGCAGTTGACAGGTAAATCTGTGGTATTGGATGGGACATTTGATGTAGAACAACTTAATTCACAATGAAAAAAATTTACATGATAACACATTAAATCAATTACAGTCAGAATCCATGATTGCCATTCCTGTACCATCAAGGTATTTATTATTATTATAATTATAATTATTATTATTATTATGTAGGTGTGAATTTCTTTAAGGCATGGGCTACCAGGAATCCCTTCAATGAGTCTATCGGAACCTTTTCCAATCAAGTCGAGGGCTCCCACTACAATTGGAATTATTGATGTCCCCATGTGCCACATTTTCACTTCAAGATAATCATTATTATTATTATTTGATTTCTGTGTTATACTCATTTTCTCCTGGGTCCCAACCTAAAATCTGAGATGGGAAATGATATCACGGAATTTCCTTCTGCACATTTCTCTAAAAACAAACTTACAAACGCATACACATTTTATATATAGATAAATCCCATCTTGGGGTCTGAGCTGTGCTTTTTAAAGATATAGCCTGTCAGGAATCGCTACATTGAATCTATCAAAACCTTTCCCAATAAAACTCAAGGCCCGAAGCAGAACTAGAATTATTGATGTCTCTATGTGCCACATATTTGAAATTTTATATTATTATTGTTGTTGTTGTTGTTGTTGTTGCTGCCTTTGTGTTATCAACTTTTATATATTCAGTTCCTTATTCTCGTATTATCAGATAAATATAGAAACAAATGAGTTGACACTGACCCTCCTCGGACCCAGCTCTTATTCTTATCTTGTTTCGAAGCATCCGTAATCGAATTGTTTTATCAACCGTCTATTTGTTCTCGTCTCTTTTTCAGGGACTTCAACACCCTATGCCTGAATAATGGATACCCGATAGTCATTTTTTTCCTTTCAAAATTTTCATAATTATTATTATTCCTATGTCTTTTCTTGAACATTTCCACATACACCCCCACCCCCACCAAAAAAAAAAAACATGACACAAAATAGCGATGCCACGTAACAGTAGAATCATTTCAGGTCCCACCCATTAACCTGACCCGCAATAAATTCGTAGCATTCCAAAAGACCGTACTGTAAGGCACCCTAAGGCAGAGTAAACCCAATTTAGGCGGGGGTCCTTTGTTATTTTTGTTGTCCTTCTTGTTCTCGATTCCACGGACCCTAAACCTCCTCCTCTTATTCTAATCTTTTTTTTTTTTTCTCTTTTTGGTTGTCTTTTTCTTTTGATAAAACATTTTCTTTCTTTCTTTCTTTCTTTCTTTCTTTCTTTCTTTCTTTCTTTCTTTCTTTTCACCGCTCCCACATTTCCTTTCTTTTTCTTCCTTTGTGTCTTTCTTTTTTGTTTGCTTGTTTGTCTCATTTTTTTTTAAGTTAGCATTTTCCCATTTCTTGAGTTTTCTAAAAGACAACCAAAATTATAAAAAATTTGGTTTTATTTTTTATTTTTCTTCAAATATCTTCCTTTTTTCTTTTCTTTCCTTTCTTTCTTTCTTTCTTTCTTTCTTTCTTTCTTTCTTTAAACTTTTAGTCTCTTCTTCTTCTCTTTTGTGTTACTTTCCACTCCAACTGCCCCTTCTTCTATTTGACTTTTTTCTCTCTTCTTTTTCAGTCACTCGGTTTTTCCTCTTTCTTTCCCCATTCTTCATTTTTCTTCCCCTCTTCATTCTCGTTTTACATTTTTCTTCTCAGTCCTTAAACCCTTCCTTTTTTCAGTCTCCCTTCTTACTCTTCATCCGCTTACTCCCACCACTCCTCCTTTTTCAAACTCAAAAGCGACCAAATATTTTTCATTTATGTAGTAAACCGTTTCTCATTTATATATATAGAGATAGATAGATAGATAGATAGATAGATAGATAGATAGATAGATAGGTTATGAACGGAAGGACGGTTAGAAGAGACAAGCGGGTTTTGCGTCTGTCTTCATTCACGCGTGACGAAAGATATAAACTCTGCGGAATTCACATCTTACTATTTCCATCTTTTTCATTTTATTTTTAATTATCTATTTGTGTTGATTTTTGTTTTCCGACTTCTTTTTTCTGTTCATTTCTCTTTTATTTGGTCCCTTTCGATATCATATTGAAAGAAAAAAAATAGTATACGTCACATTTTATAGGCTGTTGAATTGGTCTTTCAGCATGGAAAAAATGTTTGCCTCGAAACTAAACATATTTTTACAGGCGGCTCGATGCATGTAGCTTTATACTTACAAGAGTAGAGAAATCTTCGGGTGATTTTTACTCTGTTAGTCACGGCTTCTATTCGAAGAAATATATGAAGTAAATATTTTTAGTACGACTATGCGTTAGATACTGTTTAACAGCTTAGTATAACTACCCGATAAAATACCGTTTCTGCGTCAAATTTTAAATTACATTTTTTTTACATACTAATACACATAATAGCTAATTAAGTAAAACCTATATTAAGGAATATAATTAGCTATTATGTTTCTCTAACTCTTCAAATGTTGAATGTATAACTAATTCTAATTACTATTTTCCCATCTTTAAACTATATTAATTTTATATTATAAATTGTCCCGAGTTCTGTCACCCATGAAATAAAAATAATTGTTTGTAAAGAAAATAAGGATCTACCCACATCAAATTGTCTTTAAATTAAGTGGCAGCAGAAGAATTATCGTTGAATTTTTAAAAGGTAAGCTTAAACATTAATTCAATACTTAAATGTAGCAATCAATTTTCAGTTCTTCTGTAGTTTATTGATGACTATCGCATCTACTCCTCCTTAACTCCTGTGATGATCGCCAAACCAAGAGTCCTCTACAGGAGCTATCTTAAATGCCTCCCGATAGGGCGGCTTTTAAGCTAGTTATATATAATGGCAAATTCTACTACATTGATTTTATCACAAAATGTTAGAACTTTTCAAACTCTCTCTCTCTCTTTATATATATATATATATATATATATATATATATATATATGTGTGTGTGTGTGTGTGTGTGTGTGTGTGTGTGTGTGTGTGTGTGTAACCCTGCCCATTAAAAGGCTAGTGAATGACTGAAGGCATTATATACAGAGCTATCATTAATTCAGACGATGATGTTAAGTATTATTTTGGATCGCCAGAGAACAGATGGAAAATCGCGTTTTTACCATCACAAAATGACACTGAGCAATATCAAATACAAAAACTTTACAAAGTTTTCAAATTATGTTTGGCGATTAAAAAAATAACCGTAAGAACCCAACGATTAGCTGGGAGATAATCGCCAAAGCTAAGGCATACAACGGAAAGAGAGACAGATGTAATTTATTATATTAAAATACGTAAATAACTCTTGCTGAACACGAGGTCCGAATTAATGTCTACATATATCCATAAATGAAACCCTTCTTAATCTGTTAGCAAACTGAGTTAGCCATTAATTACATTAACTTTATTGATTTATTCTTTGAATTATTATTATTATTATTATTATTATTATTATTATATATATATATATATATATATATATATATATATATATATATATATATATATATATATATATATATATTGATCCATCCAGCTCTTATCTCAAATAACAACTTAAAAGAGAATGCTCACTTTTATATATTGCATACGCGATTTCCATAATATTAGAATTTTAACCCATAAATATAACATATCTTCTTTGGTGGATTCTCTGGTCATGGTTGACAAATGAGGGTTCAGTAAAATAAAGCGGTTTTATGGACACGCATGTGTCTCCCAAGGCCTGTAGGTTTTTGCAAACCTTTAGATAGATGGAACATGTGGTTGAGCCATTTTGCTCGATTGGTTGAAGATCCATTGCCACATGTTTCTGCGAGTGGCCTACTTTACTGCGTGCGACAAAGTAGCAGGTAAGGCTATCGATGAGAGCAGGAGCATGCTGCCAACTTTCTTTAATAATTGCACACAGTTCATCCGATGTTCATGTCAGCCTCGCTTATGAGAAGCAGGGCAGGCTCCATCTCCTTCGCTATGACGCTTTGTTTACCCAGGAAGAAAAGGGGATGGGATGCTGAATCACTTCAGATTGTCTTTGAGTTTGTCTCAATACATGCATACATATATACATACATACATACATACATACATACATACATACATATATATATATATATATATATTGTTACGAGGATGCAATAAGGGATTCAACTGAGTTCTACTTGTTATTACAAAAACATTTTCATTTATATAGAGAAATTAGGGAAATAGAGAAATTAGAAATAGAATGTTTGGAAGATTCTAGCTCATTCTAGTATATTCGAGAAAAATCTAGATGATTCGAGAAACATCTAGAAATATGCAAATTAGGTGTTAGCCTATAAAAATGGGATTTTGGAAAAGGGTTGTCAGTTGATGAATGAGAATTTGACGTTGTTCTAGTCAATTTTTGTCATTTATCGACTCACGCGTGACTGGTTTGCTTGGAATTGACCCGTTTTTGTGTTGAACTGCATTTTTGGTTAAGTTTATTCCTTTTATTACTGCCTGTTTATAAGACTGTTTGAAAAGATTTTGATTTCTTCTTTTCTGTTTTTTACCCTCCTCTAATTTTTATTTTTTACCCACTTAATTTTTTTTACTTTTTTTTCAGTCTTTTCCTTTTTTCTCTTTCCTCTTTATTTTTTTAACCCCCGTCTGTGTTACGTTTTCTGACTAATTCTAATTTCTAGTATTTTCTTTCTTACCTTTTAATATCTGTTAACTTATTTCTCGTGTAGTGCTTTTTTCGTGCCAAATTTGTACTAATCCTTGTATTGTTTTTTTGTATTGTCTAACGTGTCTATTTTCTTTTGTTTACTTTTTGACTCGCTTTCTTAACGTCAGCCATTTTTATTTTTTGTGTCTAGCTTCGTCTGTCTTAGTTACGTATTGTTTTGTTGTAATTAGCTTTGTGTTATTGTTTCGTAATTTTTTGTTGACGTCGGCCATTTTGATTTTATTTTAGCTTCGGCTTTTGTCGAAGTTTTTTTTTTTTTTTTTATTGTCTAAAGTTTTTTGTTTATTACGTGTTTGTCTTTTCGCCTTTAGGCGATATTTGTATTGTATTCTTTATACGTTTAGGTGAACTGTCTAATTGTTTTTTGGTGTCCATAATTATTTTATTTTTTTGAGTTTATTTCTTTTTCTCTCGCCCATATATTTATTGCCCACCCCTCTCCATTCCCCCTCCCATTCCCCCCATTTAAAATATGGATAAGAAGGAAAAAAAAAAGTACCTTCTTTTTAATCGCAAAAAAGAAATTTAAAAAATACTTCTTTTAAAAAAGAAGTATAAGGAAGCACCTATTTAACCCTAAGAAGGACCCCCCGATAAAGACAATAAGGAGGAATATCCTGACCTCCCAAGTGTTCCCACAAACGAGGAAATTGTGGAGACATTAAAAAAGCCTCCAAAAATATGGAAGCTGAAAAAAGCGGAAATACAGACAATGAATCGAACAGCACAAAAACTAATGCAGAGGCCGGGAATCGCCCTCTTGTTGGAAGTCCCTCCTAAATGCATAATCAATTTAGTGGAGTTCTTGGAGCGTGCCAAGAGTTACGCCCACCTTGTTGTTGAAGGTGGTCTTTTGGAAGACCCCAAGAATTGAAGAGAATTGATAAAAAGAATAGTGTCAGTTTTCGTCGTGGACAAGCGTACGCGCAAAATTTGTCGCTCGACGAAAACACAGTGTTGAAAGCACTAGAATCCTTCGGGTTCAAGCCCTTAGAATAGTTAAGGGTGCTAAATTTTCATCTGGGACGTACTGTTGCCCACACCAGAAGATTGCGTCGCCGCGGCTAGCCGCGAACTAATCAACAACGAGTTGATATTGCGTACCGAATACGAAGGGCGACGAAGGACCAGGGTAACTGTATACGAGGTCCCTCCTCAGGTTATCGGGGAACATCTGGCCGCTTTCTTCTCTCAGTATGGCGAGATTCTGGGAGCTTCCTGCGATAGCCTGAACGGGGGTGGAGCTTTGATATCATGTTGGACGAGAAGGCCTTCCGCTCCATCCCCAACTGTCTGGATGTTGGCGCTTTGAAGTTACCGGTCATAGTGACGGGTCGAAGACCGGTATGCTGGAGGTGTGGAGTGACTGGTCATCTCTCCTCCTCCTGCCCAGAGAAGAAGGCCTCTGGAAGTCAAGCGCCAGTTACACAAGATCCCCTCTGACCGCGTCTCAAAATTCCACCTCCTGTAATGGGCGTACCAGCCTCCAGGACCAGGTCGGTTAATCCTCCGGTCGGCGCGTCACCTAAAGCCACACTCCCCAAAGAGCCTTCGCCCGCTGCCGGTGCAGTTGTGGAGAAGGGGGAGGGGGAATGGCTGGTGGCTGGTAAGGCCAGAGGGAAGCGCCGGACAGCGGGTCCTCAGTCCCCTGAAGCCCCAAGGAAGAAGGGCACTCACAGTCCCACTCCCATTAGCAACGTTAAGGGCGATGCCCCGGTCTCTAGTCTTACTTTCGAGGAAAAGCAAAAAAAATTCGACCCTGGCCATGAAAAGGCTGAAAAGTTAAAAGCACTCAAAAAACAACTGGATGCAAAAAGAAAAGATCCAATCCCTTCATCTCCTGCTAGTCCCTCCCTTCACCAAAGAAACAACCCCCCACCTTCACCCATTTCACCATCCAAAGCCAAAACCCACAGCAGAGATCCCAGCCCCTATAGACACAGGTCATTTTACACCCCCATGAATACTCCCCTCCTTCTCCAGTTAAACAAAAATCTACCCCCTTCATACCCCCAAGCAATCACCGGCAAAAAAATGCCGAAATGCCTCCTCCAGCTACAAAGCGGCTTAGAACTC